GCTCTAAGGCTTGTATCTGTGGATTCTGTTTTTCCAATTTGTGAGACACAGAATCTTGCTCTGTGTTTCAGTATCACACAGATGCAGTCCTCAACAGGATACACTAGCACGCTTTTCATGTCAAGTAAACCAGGAAGGGGAGACGACAGGAAAGGGAAGAGAGGCGGGCAGTCTTTCATCTACTGTGAAGCCACTCACAGGGATCTCGGGGAGATGGTTACCTAGGGAGCCACCATGAAGCACGTTCTGAATAGGGAATTCCTCTTTACTTGGCAGCAGCCATGGAATCCCACGTTTAATGAGAGCTCATTTAATTTTAAGAGCATACTCTTAATAGTTCTTTTAACCACAGACACTCAGTTGTATGTTACAGACAGGCCTTTGTCTTAGAAAGAAAGGACATTTTGAGGTCAGCTTGTTATATGAATCTACTTGTCCCTTTCCCTAGGAGGCAAACAAACTGTGAGCTAATGGATGGTATCCTTTCTGTACTCAGGACCCTGTATGGCAAGACTTGCAGCAGCCAAACTTCAATGCCAATTGCAGCAGAAACTTGAGCAAGAGCCATCAATACCAGGCTACTGCTTAGAAAATTGCTGGTACAATTTTCTAAGAAGTGACAACATCCTATATGGGTACACATCACAGGACAGTCCTGGTGAAGTGTGTCTGAATCATATTTGTACAGAGGCTTCGAGATATATGGGGAGTTTGGGGAGTTCTTTACTGGCCTGTTAAGAAATCTGTACACTGGGCTTGGGAAGCTGAGGCAGGAGAATTGCAAGTCTTAGGCCAGCCTCAGCAACTTAGTGAAGACTTAACCGACTTAGCCAGACACTTCTCAAAATAAAAAATAAAAAGCGGGCTGGGGATGTGGCTCAGTAGTTAAGTACCCTGGGTTCAATCCCTGGTACCAAAAAAAGAAATCCATACATAATATATAACTTCAGAATTGGTTTTCTCCATTCATCATTTATAAGGAGTCATAAACACGCCCCAGAAGGGAGAGGGAAATAAGCAGACATTTGTAGGAAGGAATTACAGTCATGTGCCCACCCCAAGTCTTCCATCTCCACTGTGAGAAAATATATTCAAAGATATCAAGAAAAACTGACCTTATTTCAGACACTTCCAGAGATAAGGAGACTGAAGCAAAATCCAGTGAAAGCCTTCCCACAGTTCTGCTGGAGAAAACCCAAAAACATTCATTAGAGGAAATAAGGTCAAATAACAAAGTGGTCTACAAGGAACAAGAAAGCCACTAACTTTTGGGGGGGCATTTACAGACATGTGTTGACATGGTCTACAGGTGTGACCTTCCAGACACGCCATCCCAGGGCAGGAATGACCTGCAGAAGTACCGCCATCAACCCTGACCAGTGATGGGACATGAAGTTGCAGGTCCAGGGAACATAATGTAATATGGGCTCTGTCCACAGGATGAGGTATTTGAGTAATTCTAGAAGAAACAGGGCTTGACTCGTACTAGCCAGGAGTTAGTCTACAGGATCATGTCAAACTGTTTATAAACAATAGGATATTTTTCTGGGTTTTGTGATGTTAGTTGAATTTGTCAACTTTCACAAATTGGTCATTAATTTATTTATTTGGGGTACCAGAGATTGAACTCAGGGGCACTTGACCACTGAGCAATGTCCCCAGCCCTATTTTGTATTTTATTTAGGGACAGGGTCTCACTGAGTTGCTTTTGTGGAAGCTGGCTTTGGACTCAAGATCCTCCTGTCTCGGCTGAGCCATTGGGATTACAGGTGTGTGCCACCACACCCAGGTAAAATTAGTAATTTATAATTGTTTCTTTTATCCAGTCTAAATAAACATTCACTTTCATGTCTAATTTTGCATTCTTAAAGAGGACTTCCAAAGTCAAAAGTGCTTCAGGCCACACAAAATTATATTTGCTCCTATATAAAAGTTGATTAGAGAATTCTCATTCTCATCCCTGTCCCCACCACCTCATTCCCCCCCAACAGTTAGGAATTCCCACTGTTTCCTTCTTCCTGTAATTCTTACAAAATTAAACAAATATGACTGGGCATGGTGGTGCATGCCTGTAATCCCAGTGACTAGGAAGGCTGAGGCAAGAGGATCCCAATTCCAAAACCAGGCTCAGCAACTAAGCAAGGCCCTAAGGCAGCTTAGCAAAAACTTCTCTTTAAAAAAAAAAAAAAAAAGTGGCTCATGATATGGCTCAGTGGTTAAGCACCCCTGGGTTCACTCTCTAGTAACAATAAATAAATAAATTAATTAAAATAAACAAAGATGAATAAACACGTAAGTGTATTTTTACTTCAGAGGCATCATGCTTATACACATTATTTCTGTTAAAAAATTATTAAATCAATCATTTTTAAAATTTGAGCTGGACACAGTGGTGCATACCTCCTTACTTGGACACTTCCAGAGATAAGGAGACTGAAGCAAAATCCAGTGAAAGGTTAAGACAGGGGGATTACAGGTTTGAGACCAGCCTCAGCTATTTAGTGAAACCCTGTCCCCCAAAATTGAAAGGATTGGGAATGTAGCTCAGTGGTAAAGCACTCTGCAATCAATCCCCAGGAGCAAATACTAGTAATAATAAAAATACAATTTGGTTTCTTCTAAATTTTGAGTGATAATCATCAAAGGCTTTTTTTTCATTTCTAAGTTATAAAATTATGCCATGTTTTCCTTTAATACTTTAAGTCCTTTTATTCTGATACACATTGTGAAGTATGTATTCAGTTTTATCTACTTTCAAATGGTTTTTATCCAATTGTCCCAACACCCTTCATTCAAAGTTCACCCTCCTTCTCCAGCAGGCTGAGATACTGTCTGAAGCATACACTAATGTTTCTATGAACTTGACTCCATTCCTGAACTTGTTCTGAACTTGCTATGTTGCTCCTTTGATACTATTGTCTATTCATGCATCAAACCACATGGTTTTAATATCTGGTAGGGCCAGCTGTCCCTCACCTTCCTGTTCAGATTGTTATTTTGTCACACAAACTTTGGTAGTTTTTTTAAAAAAATTAAAGACCAGCTGAGCAATCTGTCTCTCATGTGTGTTAAAATGAAAAGTTTTTCCCCGAGTATTTATGCCAACATAATAAAACCAAAAGTCAATATATCATATTAACAGGAAATGGTTCTGATATATGTAGGAAAAAGGAATTGATAGAATTACTTCCAAAACTATCAAAGAAGAACTGATTTAACTGGTGATGAGAAAAGGTCAAACCCCTCCATTTTATTTCTGCGCAGGATGGAGAGGAAAGCATAGATTTAGAGTTATCCCCAAACTAGCACCAGTTGATTTAGGTGGTGATAACATGGAAAATTCACTCACACTTTGCTGCCAGATAAATTAATAAACAAATACTTAAAAAGGCCTGTAATTGAGTCAGAGTTAGGTAAATCTTTAGGACCCTTGCAAATTATTAAACCAAAACTCCTTGCTCTCAAGGAATCATTTGATCCCCTCATCAGTGTTTGTGCACATTAGCATCACTTGGGAAATACAGAAAATGTCAGTTCTAGGGCTGGGGATGTGGCTCAAGCGATAGCGTGCTCGCCTGGCATGTGCGGGGCGTTGGGTTCGATCTCCAGCACCACATAAAAATAAAGATGTTGTGTCCACCGAAAACTGAAAAATAAATATTAAAAATTCTCTCTCTTGAGAGAAAGAAAGAAAGAGAGAAAGAGAGAAAGAAAGAAAGAAAGAAAGGAAGGAAGGAAGGAAGGAAGGAAGGAAGGAAGGAAGAAAGAAAACATCAGTTCTAGACCTACTTCTGGGAATTTAATTTGCAAGGTGATTCCAATGTGCGGGCGAGGTTGGGAGCCCCACAGGTGCGTGGCTCTATTACCAGGGCGCTTCCTTTAGCATTAGGAAGAGTACCCTTCTCCACTCAAATTTGGAGAGGTGCACAGGCAGAAGCGCTGGGACCCACACCTGCTCTTAGCAGTCAGACTGCTGATTTCAGTGGCGTGCGGCTAAAAGCCTTTGCACAGGTGTCTCTCCAGAGGCTGAAGTGGTGAAAGGACTTCCACCTCTTTTTTGTTTCGGTGCTGAGGCCTGGACCCAAGGGCAAGCACTGTGCCACCGAGTACAGCCCTCATTTGACTGCTTTCCTCACTGCTGCATCCACAGACCCCAGAATAGAGCGTGACACACGGCGGACAATAAACGTGACTTAGGACGAACTCCCGGTGACCCTGCACCATCTTCAATCGTATCGTCAGACCACTGAGACGAGTTTCTTTTTCGGACTTCTTCTTTGGGAGGGCAGAGACCTCTTCACCTGCTTGGGTCGCGGTGGCAGCCTCGCCCCTGAGCATCTCTTCCACCAAGCGACTCCAAGGCCGAAGACCTTTCCTAATAAGGGAGCGTCCAGGATCACCCCGAGTCACGTGAGCTCCACTACCCGACCCTGGTCTACGCGCGTCCCGTTTTGCGCACGCGCACAGCCCTAGCGCCCGTTCCTTGGCGTGGCGCAGACTCAGACCCCTCGCTTCCGCCTGGCTCCGCCCAGTTCGTTTCTGGGGGCGGGACTAAGCCTGGCTGGGAGAAAAGGCGGGGCTGGGCCTCGCGCGTGCGCGGAAAGGAGCTAGGGCGCGGCGGGGCTGGGGGGCCTGAGCGTTCGGAGACAAGATGCAGGTAATCGGGGCAGGTTCCCCGGGGTCTGAAGGACAGGTCTCGTTTGTTGTGTTGTGTTTGCTCGGGCCGCGGGCGCCAGGCCTGAGACCCGCCGGGTGCCGCAGGTTCGGCCGCGGCCCCGCGTGGCGAGGCCCCGCGCAGGCGCAGTGCGGGCGGGCGGGCGTGGTCCAGCCGGCTTCCCCGCCGCGGCGGCCGCTGGCCCTGCTCCCCGCAGCGCCGTGTTCGGGGGCCGCCCCTGCTTGAGGTGACCTCCTCCGGGCCTGTGAAGCGCTTGTCAGGCCTTGGTTGATCTGTTACTCCCCGTTCACTGAACTCCACGCATTAGCGCCCGAGCTGGAGAGGTGGGGCCTGGCTGGGAGGGGTGCCCACGGCGCAAACCACGTCCCCCAGCACCTCGCGCCGTGCAGGTGGGGTGTCCCCCGTCGGGCTCCCTGGGTTCCAGGTCCCAGCCGCAGCTTCTCCGCTCAGTGTGAGTTTGTTTTTCCCGTCTGAGGCAAGGTCTCGCCAAGTTGCTTAGGGCCTCACGGAAGTTGCTGAGGCTGGCGACCCTCCTGCCTCAGCCTCCCCAGCCCCTGTGATTGCAGGCGTGCGCCACCTTGCCCGGCCTCAGTGCTAATTTCTGAAAAGGAGTTAAATAAGAATCGTTTTTGGTTTTATTTGGTAGCCAGAATTTGACAAAAACCCCGAAGGAAGTGAAGAAAACTTCATTGAAATGACATTTTTTTTTTGGAGGGGGGAGGGTCACTGAGGGCTCCGAGGGGATATTTACATATATAGCAAGTGGCACAAACCAGAAGCTCTTAAATGGGGGAAGAGAAAGCTCTGGGGCACCTCTGACCTCATTGGTATCCTCTGTGCTTCAGGTCCCTGCTTGAAGATGTTACAGCCTCTTCAGGGGCCTTCCCTGACCGGGGCTGAAAGATTCTGTTCATTTTTCCCTTGATGACATGCAGGGGGGCCGGGGTCTGGTCTCCCTGGTGTCCAGGGCACTTCTTCAGTTCATATTCCAAACCAAGTCGCAGCTCACTGTCCTTGTTCCTGCCAGACCATGCAAACCTGAGCCTGGGCACTTGGGTTCTGCCTCTGAGTGCCCACCTGGCATTCAGTCCTGGTCAGTTTGCCTGACTGCCCAGAATGGTAGTGCCTTTCTGGACACCATGCTGAGCAGTCAGGCTTCTGATGGTCAAGGGTCAAGTGAGTGGACATAGGTAAAGACCTGGAAGATTGCCCACCGCTTAGTGGTGGGTGAGAGTTGACTGTTAGGGATACCCCAAGGTCTCAGCTCCTCTCAGGCTGGGCCTGTAGACAATTCTGTCAGCCTAGCTGAGGCCTCCTTCTTCCCAGATGCAGCCACTTAAGGCTTTGAGGCGCTCGAATGTCATATCTCTTGGCTTTTGGGCCTTCATATGTGTTGGTCCCTCTGTCTGGAAAGTTATTTCTTAAGCCCGCCTCTCCCCTGCTTGGTTCCGATCACCCTCAAGTGACTGGTGTATGTCAGTTTTTCTAGTGGGTCTCCTGTCCCTTTCTAGAACAGCAGCCCGTTCGTCCTCGCGGTAGCCACAGCTTTTTTTGAATATGCGGTTTGTGTCTGTATCTGTGCATCCTCTTACCCTCTTGACTCTTGTGTTCACCAGGCTTTCTTGATGCGTAACCCAGGAATTCGTGTTGAGTAGGCACTTAAGGATCTGTGGAATGAGTCATTCCAGGTCATGAATAAAAATATTGAACAGCAGCCAGGTCAGAGCCTGGGTTGTAATACGGATGCTGATCTGCACGTCATAGCCTGAATTTTATTCCTAGACCGAGGATAAGGAGGAGGAACGGGAAGAAAAAAAATTGAACAGGGTCTGTGAGTCTTTGACACTTTTTTTCAGAAATAGGTCACAGAGTAATGTGGCTTGAATTCCTCCTGTCCTACCACTGTTCCCCTTTGGCTCTCTGTCCAGTGTGGCCCCTCTGCACTGAACTGGGCACTTCTTATTCTTGGTGTTCTTGGTCCTCCTTTGCAGGACCCCAATGCAGACACTGAATGGAACGACATCTTACGCAAGAAGGGCATCCTGCCCCCGAAGGAAAGCCTAAAAGGCACGGAGGAGGAGGCGGAGGAGGAAGCACAGCGAATCCTCCAGCAATCAGTGGGTGAGCTGGCCTTCTTGTTCTGTGTCTGCTGGGTCTGGGAACAAGTCCCGGAGCCTCCAGCCGCTGCAGCAGAAGGAGCCTCTGAGCAGCAGCCAGGAGACGGCTGGAGTGCTGGCCCTCAGGGGAGTCACAGGTGTCCCAAGGCCACAGAGTTAGAGAACTTCAGAGCTACCCTTGCAGCCCCGCAAGTCCTGGTCTGTGTTATGTGAACACAGACTTTCCTGACCATGATTCAATTTAATAATGTCATAGGAATTTCTCCAAAGAGTTTAGTGTTTGTATTCTCCTGAGGTTGTACACTTTATTGATCTTTGTGGTTTGGTTAAGGACATCAAAGTAAAACAACTTAATCTGTTTAGAATGTTTGCAATATGTGGGGTCTGGGGGGGGTTTCTTAGTTGGAATTCCTTAGAGGGCTGGTCCATATGCCCAGTCCCTACTGAGTCAGTCTCTGGTGAGGCCCTGGAATCTGCATGGTAAACTGTTTCTGATTCTTACTAACGTGTGCGACACATCAATCACAGAGCCTAGTACTTCTGTGCCCAGCTGACACGCGAGAGCTAACTCAGAGAAGGATTTATTAGAAGGTGTCCAGCAAGTGCTTATTGAACGATCAGTGTTTCACCTGCTGTCCTGGGCAGTGGGGATTTAGTGTTCTCCTTCCGTGTGGAGCCTGCATTCTAGCGGCAGGGGGAGACTGAATAATAAGGGAAGTCACACGGGGAAAGGGGCTAGGAGGGGCCGGGAGGGATAAGAGCAGTTCCAGAGAGGCTTCCCTGGGAGGCAGCATTCATGTGGATCTGAAGGGGATGACGGAGACACCTGAGTAAAGTCCTAACGGTGAGGTGACATCCCCCAGCAGGTGGAAAGCTGTCCTGGCGTGCGGGAGGAGGCCAGTGAGGAGAAGAGGAGACAGGGAGTTCAGAGTGACCACAGGGGCCAAAGCATGGAGGACCTGGAGTCTTCTGTAGGCGCCTTGGCTTTTATGGCTGTGAGGTGGGAGGTAGTTGAAGGTCAGGACAGGGTGACAGCACTGCCCTGCTGCTGCCTAACTGAGGCCTGCCTTAGGCGCTTGTCAGCACAGGGCTGGGCGTAGTTGCTACGAGTGAGCATAAGCAATGAAGAGAGGCGTCCCAGATCAGCCTGGGGATTTTAATCACAAAAGTGGGAGGGCCTTGATTGTGGTAGGAGAGACGCCCCTGGAAGCCAGAGGAGGGCAGTGGTGGCTTGGGCCCATTTTTATCAAGAATGGAAGTCATTGTGACCATGATAAGAGTCAAGAAGGGGCAAGGGCACAGCCTGCTTTGATGTCAAGAAATAAGAGTGTTTATTACCATAAAAACGATGGATTTCATAGCAGCTGGTCACTAGGAAAGACAAGGAGTACGGCAGGGGCACCCTCCACTCCAGGAAAGGTGCTCAGGGAGGACCCTGTGTCTGCCCGGCTCCTTGGGTGATCTGACGACTCTGGGGACACTGGCCCCCAGCACACAGACTTGAAGGTCAGACCAGGTGGCCGCAGGCACTGGCAACTCTACTTTTGTTTTAGAAATGTGGGAGACGTTATTGCTGAGGGAGGGTAAGACGGGCAAGCCAGCAGATTCTAGCGAGATCTGTCCTTCCCAGTGCCCACCTCTCATTGCCAGTGACAGGCCCTGGCTGTGTTGGCTCTGTGGGCTGGGGGTCTAGTGCCGTTGTGCGCATGGCTTTAGGAGAAACGTGAGGAACACCTGAACTGCTGCCTGTTCATCTTTTAAATTTTCCACTTTTGCCTTTGTCGCTCATTTCAGTGAAAACATACGAAGACATGACTCTGGAGGAGCTGGAGGAGAATGAAGATGAATTCAGCGAGGAGGATGAGCGGGCCATTGAGATGTATAGGTTGGTGCCACCCAGAGGGACGTGTGGGTTTTTTGTGTTTGTTTGTTTGTTTTGCATGGTGAAAAATTAATTTTCTAGCTGAGATAACATTTGGAAAAGACCTTGATTACACATCAGTGTCATTCATTCCAAGGAAGCAGCCCCACACTGTGGGCCTGAGGCACATCAGTGAGCCTGGACCACCCCAGGGAGGCCTCCGGAGAGACGGGGTGCATGCATGTGCTCCTGGGTGCGTGTGTGTGCTCCTAGGACCTTTATTTTTTCTTCCATTGTGTAGGCAACAAAGACTGGCGGAGTGGAAAGCGACCCAGCTGAAGAACAAATTTGGAGAAGTTTTGGAGATCTCAGGCAAGGATTATGTTCAAGAAGTTACGAAAGCCGGTGAGGGCTTGTGGGTAGTCCTGCACCTTTACAAACAAGGGTGAGCTCATCTTCCACGTGGTCTACAAGCTGTTGGTTGGAATTTATGTCTTGAACCTGTAGGAGGCTTAATATCAGATTTTGTGTTTTGTTTTTCACTAACATTGTGTTTTTGTTGCTGATTTGTCTAAAACTCGGTGCCTGATTCTTATTTTAAGGTTTCAAATTAATATTTGTTAATAATATAAGTGCCTTTGTTAAAGTCATGCAATGAAGACTTGATTTTTTTTTATTAGAAATGATTCCTGGAGGGAAAGGAGATTTACTAGGGAATGATATTGGCCAAATTGTATTGTTATATTGTGTGCACGTGTGTGTGAGTGCATAACAACAAATCCTGTTATTATGTGCAACTATAATACCCACCAATGAAAAAAGGGGGGGAGATGATTCCTAAGTTATTCATCCCTCTAGAGGAACAAATTTCAAAGTTCCACGTGTCTAATCACTCTTGTAGATGACAAGGGTGACCTTGACAGTGGTAGTCTGTACTTAGAGATGCCCTGAGCCTCCAGTGTTTCTCGCCTGCCCAGTCTTGTTCTTAAACTAGAGTTCAGTGCTTGTTGAGGAATTCTCTTAAAGCAGGATTGCATTCTGGCCTGTTTCAAACATTCTAAATCTTCAGTTCTTGCAACCTTATAGAATGGTATAGCAATTATATAGCAATGGTATAGCATGATAGCAGTCTTTTACACCCAAGTCAGTTTTCTGAATTATTGTTGGGTCTAATTAAATTGGACTTTGGACTTTAAGATCTTCACCCTCCCTGAACTTATTAGAAAGTTTTTAAAAACTGTGAATTCAGGCCAGATGTAGTGGCACATATCTGTAATCTCAGCAACTTGGGAGGCTGCAGAAGGAGGATCGCAATTTTGAGGCCAGCCTGAGCAATTTAGCAAGACTCTGTCTCAAAATAAAAAGTAAAAAGGGCTGGGGATGTAGCTCAGTGGTACAGTGACCCTGGGTTCATTCTCTATTACCAAAAGCAAACCAAACACAAAGGTGGGCTCATCCGGCTGGCAGCAGGCTGCTCCCAAAGCTACCGGAGGCCTCTGTCGGGGAGGAGGGGGGCTGTGCTTTGTCCTGTACACAGGCAGAATCACAGCTGCTTCTGTTTTCTCTTTCTGGGTTCTAGGATTCCTCTCTGTGCTCTGATAAATCAACACCTGAGTGGACTTGCCAGGAAGTTTCCTGATGTCAAGTTTGTCAAAGCCATTTCAACCACCTGCATACCCAACTATCCTGATAGGAACCTGCCCACCGTGTTTGTTTACCGGGAAGGTGACATCAAGGCTCAGTTCATTGGTCCTCTGGTGTTTGGTGGCATGAACCTGACGAGAGATGGTAAGAGCTCTTAAAGGCGGGCAAGGGCATGTGGGGAGGCTGTTCTGCTGGAGGGAGTTCCTGGCCACCCACTTGCCTTGTGAGGGCGGCCGGGGAGCTCTCCTTGCCTCTGTGGGTGACGGAAGTGTGGGCAGCTGGAACTGGAAAGAAGATGCGCAGTGGAGGGGGTGGACGGGATCCGTCGTGACAGCAAGAGTGAGAACCAGTGCAGTCTCTGCAGTTGAGGGTTTAAGTTGTAGCTCAAGACCACAGCCTTTGTTTCTTATTTAATTCATAACTTCTGTATGTGTGTGTGTTTCTCTATAGAAATATTTTCACAGTTGAATATCTCAGTAGCTTTTAAATTTTAATTTTGCCTCTTAATCCTGGAAGGCATTGCTGTTCTTTTCCACCTGTTGCACATGGAGTTATCAAAATATATCCAGTTATACTTTACTCGTTAACAGGAATATGTATTTAAACATGACTTTATATACTTTGCCACTGTGATATTTGAGTAGGAATAATTGCACAGACACTCATATAAAGTAGGCTACGTTATTCAGTATTCAAAGACATACAGTGTTTCAAATTGATAAATATCTAATTTTGTCTGTTTCGATCTTATCGAAGGGAGATAGGTGTATATCTTAGTCCCCTTTCTGTTGCTGTAACAAGACACCTGAGGCTGAGTGCTTTATAAAGGAAAGAGATTTATTTTGGCTCATGGTTCTGAAGGCTGGGAATGTCAAGAGCACGACACCAGCATCTGCCTGGCTTCTGGTGGCAGCTTTGTGCCATTTCATATCAGTACAGAGAAGTGACAGGGAAGGAGCACATGTGTGAGAGTGAGGGAGAGGAGACTGGCTGCCGCAGGGGGAGGCACTTGGCCTGCTCTCTTGAGAACCGACCTGTTCGTGTAAGAACCAGTGCAGTCTCCAGAGAAGGACCTTGGGCCCCTTAAGGACCCCATCCCAGCACTGCCACGTGGGCACCGGATTTCAGCGTTGGTTTTGGTGGCGGCGAAGCACACCCACACCTGGCCTGTACAGTCACAGCTGTGGTCTGTTTCTAGAAGAGTCTCGTTTGAGGACAAGTGAACTTAATGTGGAACAATGATCATGTGTAAGTGAGTGGTGTTGAGCGCATACACAGATGTGTGCAGGTGTGGACACAGAAATCATTCCTGAGTCCAGAATCAGAAGTCTTAAGGTTGTTCAAAGAAGTTTCTTGAGTTTTCACAACTGTCCATCTTGTGGCAGATTTCACATAAGCCATGCATCATTCTGAACGGCACGGCTGTGTGCTGGGTCCCCAGAACCTACTCATCTTCCACCTCAAAGTCCATGCCTTTCTGGCATCTGCCTCCCTCCTCCGACCCTTACCCTTCTGCTCTATTTCGGGGCATGCTCTAAATCAACATGGCTTCAGTAACATTGGTGGTGCGGCTTGGGGAAGCGTGCAATTGTGAAGAATCTCTGCATTGACCTGCCTCTCGGCCATGCTGTGGCTGGGAAGCTCCTGGGCCGTCCCTTCACCCCGCCTGGCTTCTCAGATGCAGAACCGCTCACTCTCGCTCACAGGCCTCACCCGGTGGAGTCTCACTGATGACGGGACTGAAGTACGGGACCTGGGGCCGGGTGGTCTCTGACCTTTCCTTTCTGGTACTTTGGGGTCGTTCCACGGGTGTTGTCACACATTTATCCTCTGACCTTAGTAGATGGGATGCTGGACAAGGAGCTGAAACACTCTTATCAACGAAAATCAGATTGAATGATCAGACTGGCAGCTGTTACATGGCTGCTGGCCTTCCCTGGGGGAGTGTCCTAGCTGGAAACCGGTCGTTAGAGGACAGGTTTAGCCTTTGTTCTTGGGTTTTCAGGCAGTTTCAAGTTTATGTCCAAACTCGTTTGAGCCCATCTTCTAAAACAGTGAAAAGTATTATTTTTTTCCTTAAATGTCTGATCCCCACTTCTTCTGAGCACCTTAAAAACATGGCACTGAAATTGTCACCAAGTTTGATGGTTGTGTTTTCTGTTCAGATGAAGCCTGATGGCTTGGGTGAGGGGACCGAGCGCTCGGGGCCTTACGCCATGTGCTTTTCTGGGTTCGCAGAGCTGGAGTGGAAACTGTCCGAGTCTGGAGCAGTCAAGACGGACCTGGAGGAAAACCCCAGGAAACCCATTGAAGACTCGCTGCTGTCCTCTGTGCGGTGCTCGGTCCCCACGAGGAAGGACAGTGACTCTGAGGGAGACTAAGGCCACAGCTGACATAATTTGCTGAACTTTCTTGATGTGACAAATCAACTGATTTTTTTTTTTTTTTTTTTTTTTTTAAGAATAAAGAGCTGGGCCTGGGCCTGTGGCGCCAGGTCCTAGGGCGGGAGGGTGGCCTGAGCCAGGAGCTGGGGGAGGCTGGCGGCCTGGGAGGCCCCTCGGAGGATGAAGAAAGGAGAGGAGCAAGCAGGAAGGAGCCTTCGGTTTTAAGCCTTTTTTGATGATATTTCCTATCTCGTACGTTTTAGGATGATCAGTGCTGGGAATTCTATTCAGTTTCTTGGAACTCTTTTTAAAAAAATTAATAGCACTTTCTTTATAAAACAGTCAGGACTTGTTCCTGGCATGGCAGAGATGTCTGTTCTCCCACTTGCATTTTAAGTAAGCCATAAATCTGTGTTCTCTATTTTTTGATGTGTAATTATGTAAAAGGGATATGAGTTTTTTAAAAAATCGTGAATAAGTTATGGTGGAAAAACCACAAACTAAGTTTTATACTTACATTATATATTTTATAAACTAGCAACAGTTATCAACAAATGAATGATCTTTAGAGAAAAATCTTTGTTCTGTCCTCCTGAGAAGAAATAGATAATTCTTGCAAAACATTGTTTTATCAAAGCAATAACTGACAGGTTTAATTTACTGTCATTTCTTCAAGTGTTTTTTTTTTTTTTTTTCCTAGTTAAAATAATGTTTACCTCAGACTGTTGAGATAGGGAATCTTGATTACTGTAAAAGGCCACATTAAATTCTTTTTGGAAATAAAATTTAAGCAGTCATATAAATAAAATGTGTCTCAGTCAATCAATAAAAAACATCAAGATGTTTTATGAACCAGAACTTTATATCACTTCCTGTCAAATCGATATTGACAAGAGAAAAGTTAGGGGAAATATTCCCTCATATTTGTTTTGAATGCTACAGCACTTAATGCTGATTTCATATCTCAAAAATAAGAATTGGAGCACAGAGTTCTTTCAGATTAGATGGTAAAATTACTTTTTGCTCTGATTCAAAGAATGACAGGCAGCTGTGACCCAGTTTATTTGTCAGAAGTGCTTGGTACTCGTCTTTCTATGTTCATGAGACCAGCCAGCGCTGCTGCTAAGAACATGCCCAGTGTCCTGTGAAAGGTGGCCATGAAATCTCAGCTGCAGGGTTGACGCGAGCTTGAGGGCTCTGGTGCTCCCACACCGTCTCTGGGTTGGTAGGAGCTGGCTGCTGAGGTTTTTGGTTGGGAGCTGACGGTATATGGAGACGTGTTGTTAGGCAGCGTTCAGAAGTGTGGGGAGCCGCAGCTGGAGTCCGCTGTGGAGCCCAGGCAGAGCTAATTCTAAGAACCATGTCACTTTCATCTAACTGAGCACTGCCCCAGAGTCTCGCCTTGGTGCCCCGTAAGACCTTCAGGTTGAGCACAAAGTAAGCTCGGGTGCGCTTGACCTTGGCTAGTGAAGCCCTCTGTGCTCACACAGCATCTGGAGCCCAGGCTGCTGTCAATCATGTAGCTGTACTTAATTTAGATAAAGAGCAGCATCTTTATCCTAAAATTGGGATTATAATTTTGAATCTGACCTGCTGTATCTATAGGTTAGCTCATTCTTGGACGTCTCCAGATAATGTGGTATCTACCATGATTTTCCTTCTGTTTCCTTTGGGGCATTCAAGATGTCACAGGTGATGGACTAAAGCATTGGTTTGTCCAAGACACAGCAGAAACACCGTGGCCAAGGGAATGCAAGAAAGCTACATAGCTGTCTGCAGGTGCCAGGGGAAGGTGTTAGGCAGGTGCCAGCCCCTTTTAAGAGGGGTGAGAAATATTCCAGAAACTTGGGATAGGAAGCGATTGAGAGAAGTGAAATGGTAAGACTGACCACCAGAGGTCCCGCTGCCTTGTTTCAGTGAGGAGAAAAGGGAGGCCTGGTGGTCCTTCAAGCTCTCCCGCCCCCAGGTGGCAGATGAGCAGAGCCACTTTCTAAAGGACCCCAGGAAACTGCTGGGAACCAAAGGGGAGAGGCTGTTGAGAAGGCTGTCCTCCACCCCAAGATCCAGACTGTGCCTCCCTCCCCAAGTTCCACTGTCCTATAAATGACCCCCAATTTTAACATTTCTCAAATGTCACACACCCATCCCCCGTGACAGTGGCCTCTGTAGAAACTTGCTACCGTGAATGTGTTTCCGGTCCTAGTCACAGGAACCAGCTGATGACTCACAAATTCACCAGGTGAGTCTCGCCTCATTTGTTCCTTTTCTCCTGGGGAAGAGGCGATAGGCTCGAACCCAGGCCGGCACATGTGCTGGGTGAGAGCCCCACCCCTGAGCCACGGCCGGCCCCTCCTTCCTTCCCCATGACATCTCTCATGTCTCAGTCCTGCAGCTGGATGGACCAGGCTGTTCCCCCACTCAAGGCCACATCCCTAGTTTTTTGGAAAAGATAAGTGATTGCCAGGGGCTGGGACAGGGGAGGGGCCGGATAGATAAAGCATAAGGGAGTTTTAGGGAGGAAATTGTTCCCATATAATAATCAGGGGAAACTGGCTGCGGATATGTGGGTACTCTGAACTATCTTCCTGATTTTTCTGCAGATCTAAAACTATTAAAAGTTGACTTTAAAATGTGGTAGTTCATGAACCACTTCAAAATGGAAATTGTAAATCATGTAAGGAAGGTGGTGCTCAGCCAGGTGCTGTTGTGCACATTTGTAATATCAGCAACTTGGCAGGCTGCGGCAGGAGGATCACAAGTTTGAGGCTGGCCTCAGCGACTTAGTGAGGCCCTAAGGAACTTAGATCCTGTCTCAGAAACCAAAAAGGACTGGGGATGTGGCTCAGTGGTTAAGCATCCCTGGGTTCAATTCCCTGTACCAAAAAATAATTATAATAAAAAAGGTGCTGCTCAGTTCTTGATAGAAAGTGCCAGAACTAAAGGGCTGCCTAGGTCCTCGTTTGAATCTGCCTGAAGGCAGAGCCTGAGCCAGGACCCAGGCGAACGGCTAATTTTATTTAAGTAGAAATCCTAGGATGCAGGAGGGCAGAGGCCTTTGAGAGACACCGGCAGGGGATGGGGTGAGAATCGGAGGTCAGGGCTGGAGGCCAAGGGAGCTCGGTCCCTCTGTATTAAGAAGCAGAAAGCCTTGCTCATCCTGGTCCCTACTGCCCAGGGAGTCAACAGCCCTGCTCTTCTGGGCTGTTCTTGCACAAGAGCTGAGCCAGCATGTGGCTGGGTGACGCAGGGAGCAGGATGGTATTGCATACCCTTGAGAGAACTTTCTTAGACATGTTCAGGCATCGGCTTCTGTCCCCCGTCCCCCTCATGCCTACATAACCAGGAATAGAAACAGGAAAGTCCAGCTGAGTCCGGCTCTGAGGCTTTTCCTGCTAGTTTTCCTGCTGGCGCTTTCTTGATCCTGCCAGAAGGTGGCGCACAATGGCAACTTGATCGCGATGGCAGTTGTCCCCAGGCACCTTTAGTGCCACCCTGACCTTAAGGACTGTGAGCCGGGAGAAGGTGCCCTCAGAATGGAGGAGACCACCTAGTTTTCTCTCAGTGGAGGAAAACCCGTCTGGTTCTTTCGTCTTGACCGCTGTCGCTTTTATTTTGGAAGCAGATCATGAACTCTCTGGGAATGCTTACTGCTCCTTCAGATGCTGGAAATACCAACTTCCTAAGAAGGAAAATGCTACCACTATTCCTTGAATACATGTTCAAGTGAATACGACTTTTAAAGGAAAATAAGCATCCGCATCGGTGTTTCCTTTTCACTTTTTCTGAGATGATGATTTAGAAAAGTGAAACATGTATGTTTCTTGTAAGTTGTCCTTAGTATAAGAGTTGGATAATTAACAAGCCAATCTTTTGCCTTACAGTGTTACAGAAAAGCATGAAAGACCTACAACTGCTTTTCTTTCTGGGATTTGAGATACTAAGATGAAACTAACACATGCACACACTCTTGTCTTACACACACACACACACACACACACACACACACACAAACTATTTGCCTGCAGTTAACTAGTCCAAGTCAAGGTACATCTGTCAGGTTCAGGTCATCTCTCATACTGATTCTGATTTGTTTACCAGTCCTACTGGGAACACAGGGTGGGAAGTCCACCACTTGGGATTTGGCACTTATATTTCTTAATAGCAGTTCTATTTTCTTTTTTTCTTTCTTTCTTTCTTTCTTTCTTTCTTTCTTTCTTTCTTTCTTTCTTTCTTTCTTTCTTTCTTTTTCTTTCTTTCTTTCTTCTTTCTTTCTCTTTTTTTTTTGTAACAGGGATTGAAGACAGGGTTCTTAACCATTGAGCCACATCCCCAGCCCTTTTTATTTTGAGACAGGGTCTCACTAAGTTGCTTATGTCCTCGCTAAATTGCTGAGGCTGGCCTTGAACTCGCAATCCTCCTGCCTCAGCCTCCTGAGCTGCTGGGATTCCAGGACTGTGCCACCATGTGCCAGCAGTAGTTTTGTTTCTTAGTAGAAATTACTGTTCTAGTTCCCAAACCACACCCTGAGTGCCCAGGCCCCTGCTGCAAGTTCCTAGGAACCAGACATTCCGAGTTATCAAGGGCAACCCTATGATATGCCATTGACCCCTGAAGCTCCACATAGTTCCCAGTTTCAACATTTGCTGGGACTTGGTTCTTGCCAAGGCCAATGTCTCGGCTTGGCACCAGAATCACGAGGCACTCACAGCTTTGTAGGTTCAAACAGCAATTCTTTATTCCAGCTCTCACACAGCCTCCATGCAGGTCCAGGGGCAATCGCGTTCTGCCGTCTCCCGCACAATTCACCTACTCCACGAGGCTATCTCCAAATCCCATTTTAATCTCACGAGAACTCAACGGGAACAAGCAGCAGGAACACCCTAATCCCAGTAATAATCTTCAACCTCTAACTTCCCTAAAACCCATTATCTTAAACTCAAGGAACCGGTTACTTCCTCAAACCTGATCAGCTCTAAACCCGGATCCGCCTTGGTCCTTGAGCAAGGTCACCTTATTAAAGCATGCATGCAATGTCCCATCGAATGTCCTCTAAGCAGCATGGGGTACGCTTGGCAAGGAAATTTCGATGCGTCATTCCTACTTGGTAATGGCCCTCAGCAGGTTCTTTTTGATGATGTCACATCTTTCTAAAGCTGGGTTTTGGGTGGCCACTGTGACCAAAGCAAGGACAGTGTGAAAATCATCATGGAGCAGGTAATGGGGTCGTGGTATCTGACCCAGTTCCAGGGTTGGAGGGATTGTGTGGTGGCCAACAGACACTTGGTACATCGTGAGCAAGGATGTTATTTTTCCTTTAATTTTCATCTATGTTTGTTTTGAAACAACTCAACAATTTTGAGATCTGAAAGCTTATTAAGCTGTTTGACAATAACTACTCAATAAGCTGTCAGGGTTGGTTTGTTTGTTTGTTTGTTTATCTGGCTTAGGAGCCCCGTGGAAAAACTATTGAGCCATAAACCAATGGACGTATATATCGGCACTATAATTTAAACTCAATCTGAAGCTGCGTTGATCAGCACAAATCCATCTCTGAGACTTGGTTACCTCTGCATTAATCAAGGAGGTTGTTGAAAATGTCAGGCTGAGAACTAGACCCTGGAAACCCAGGATGACCCCAGATTACCTCCAGAGGACCAACCTTCCTGAAGCAATGTCTTCATCTCTGTCTCTTGATCATCACGCGCAGCAGAGCTTGGGAGACTCACGGTGCGCTTAGAGTGAGTCTCGGTCGCCAGGTGCGGAGGCGCACACCTGTAATCCCAGGGGCTTGGGAGGCTGAGGC